CTTTATTTGGTTATAAATAAAAATAGAGGCTGGGAAGAAGAGAAAAGACAATTTATTTATTTGATTAAAAAGAAAAATAAAAGGGGGAAAATTGAAACTTCTCATTTTATTTTCTTTTTCCATTCAAAGTTTAAATTTCTTTATTTCCTTTTCACATATTCAAATAAATCCTTCAATTTTCCTCCCATCTCTTCTATTCTTTCAAACAAATATACTTTAAATATTAACCCTAATATATAAGACGACGCTAATTGTCTAATTCAAGTACGTTACAACATGTAAGACAAATAAGATGAGATATTTGGGCTCAGAGCAGAAAAGGAAATCTTAGTGGGAACATGGTCATTGACTCGGGAGATCTGTGTATATAGAGACGAAAGAGTATGGTAGCTGACTAATTGTATTGTAGTGTGTTCTTCCTTTTTTTTTTTTTTTTTTTTGGCCTTAAGGTAATTGTAGACTTGTAGTGGGTTGGTTTAAGTTCTTTATATAGATAATTTTGTGGTTAGTGGTATGGTTTTTGCCTCTGTTGAATTCGATTTACATGTAACATTATCACAGCCACCACGCACCGAGCGTGTTTTCTTGACTGGGAAACCAAATTAACTTAGGAAAAATCAACATCTCTTGTGAGTTATACATAGACTTTCTTCGATGTGAGAAGACCGGAGTTTACTTATACTAGGAACATGCATTTGTTTCCCCAGTCATGGCCTAATCAAAGCAAGTCTACAAATGGCACTTGCAGCTTTAGTGGACTGACAATATGCATTAAACATTGTTAATGACTTAAGTTACTTAACGGTCATCTCTTTTCGTTAAAAGTAAGAGGTATTGAGTTTAAGTTGCATGATGTGTAAGTGAGATGAAATAAGGGATGAGAGATGGTTGCTTCCCATTATGCAACCAAAATTTAAAAAAAAAAATGCATTAAACACTTTGATCCATGTTAAAGTTCAAATTCCTATTAAGACTTTCTCCTATTAAAAAAAGAAAAGAAAAGAAAATGTTATGTCTACAAATGGGCCACATGCTTAAATTCTATTTCTCTGGACTGGACCACAATGGGCTATTACAAATGTTTTTTTTTTTTTGGGTGAAATTAGTTGCTTAACGAAGGGTTCGAAGCAATAATGATTCAAGTAATTTAGTGATAATTCTCTTTCAATAAAAATAACATATTTTAAATTTAAGTTGCATAACATATAAGTAAGTTAAATGATACGGAATGATTGTATTTTATTGTACAATTCAAGATTAAAAGAAAACAAGTTTGAAGTCAATTTGATGTACCACAAAACTTAAGGTTTTAACTCCTAACCTTTTACATTAAGAATCAATTTAGCTTGTGTTTTTTGCAAACCCAAATTAAATAGTTCTCAATATATTTGTACCCACCAATAAGAGTTCTAAATGCATCCTCGGCGGACCTAATTCGATTGTGTGAGTATGAATAGGATCCAACTAAAACAATAAAAATGTATTAGACCTAATTATATAAGGCATAAGAGGTTGAGAACCAAATGTGGTATGTATTCCTCCATTTCTTTTATCATATCCTTTTCTTCTTTTGACATTATAGGTGAAAGGTGTCCAAAATATAAGCTAATATTAGGTGATCAATTACTTTCCAAGGCTGTGAGGCAGGTCAAAACTTAAATGATTGTGCAGATGCAATTGAGCTACCACTTCTCTATGGTCCCCATTTTAACCCTACATGCGGCCTTTGCTTCACCTCTAAGTTGTGTACACCTAATCATGACTTAAGACCAAATACAATTCTAGATGACCTTCGGCTTTATCTCCCAATTAAGTACCGCTATTAGGGTCAAATGTTTTGAGACACTAAGTATTGTCCTCATACGGCTCTGTTTGGTTAGGTAGAAGCAAAATATTGCGACCACACTACAGAACAAAAGGCGATACAATAGTCAATAGGATTGAAAGAGGAATACATTGTCTGTTTATGTACCGATAAGTTATAGTCTAAATGACATGCATCAAAGTATAGATAGGGAGAATTTAGCAAGTGAACAGTATAAATAGCAATGGCACTCAAGCAATGATGTAATGAAGTGCGGTTCAGCTGTTAAACATAATGGATTCTAGAAGGTGGGTTGAGCTATATTGGAGCTTAGTGGGGCTGCCTAACAGATCATAGCAAAAGAGAGGTCTGACAACGTCAAAAAGTAGAAAGGAAAGATACAGAAACCAAACTTGTTTGGCAGTGAGGAAAGATAGCAAGAGAACACTATATACAGCTCAGCCATCAACCTTGCTTCACTGGATTAGCAGACAATGCTTTATCATGATTATCCTCTCTTGCTAAAGAATCAATGTACTGATACTACCTGCCTTCCTTCATAGATATCTCCTAATAATTCTTGTCAAACTAGAGTGCTTCATCTAAATACACCTGCAAAACATTGATACTAGAGAAAAAAACGACAAGCTGGTGAAATTGCTGCAATGAAGAAATTGATGAAACCACAGCATTGACACCGTTGATCCCCAATGATAACACCTATTTGTTTGAATTAATGATTTTATCATCCATGAAGATAACTAAAGACACCTTAATTGACATCGAATTTCTCCAGTTCTTAGAAGTTTTTACTAATAACCATACAAGAATTGGTTCAATTATGGAGCCAAATCACATGCAAGATGTTGCAAACATGCTGTACCTAGAAACTTTCTCAATATACTATCTAAAAGGTCATTGAACAATTCCAGGCTATTTCCATAATGACTGTATTCTCATACCCAGGGCACAGCGAAGGAAAGTGAATAAAAAAACTCTTTAACTTTTGATAAAAGAATAACTAAAAAGAGATGGTAAGTTCATATTCATTTAATTTCCCAAAGAAGCATAAGTTAGGATTAGAATACACCTGAAGGGAAACCAGATCTCCCAAAATTAAAGCTAAAATTGCATTTATAGCAAAATAAAATAAGGGTCTTAAATATACATACAAGATAAACAAAATCAGAAAGACACCAAAATCCCAAAAACCCACAACACATGACCACTTCCAAAAGATCATTTCACTGTAGATGCTGTTGGGTTTCAAGTTTTGATGTCTTTAATGTTCCTAGCACACCTTGTAATCACCTCACAACCCCTGTTGTAAGGATTTGCCTGACCAGCATTGCAAGCATAGTAGGAAGCACCAGGCTTTGCACAAGGAACAAGGTCCCTCTTCAGCGTCTCGTAGCTAATGTACTTCTTCTGCATCACCAGAACTCTCCTACTGCTCTCTGATTCCATCTCTGGTCCTGCTAAGCAATCTTCTACCGTTGTGGTGCAAACCCTTCTCACCATGACATCGATTTCACTGTTTGGTGCTGAATTTAAGCCTAAAACTGAGACCCCATCACAGATTGAGAAATGGGTATGGAAGAGAAGCAGTGCTAAGTGGAGAGCAGCAATGGGAAGAAGCTTGGGCATCCTTGGACGTCTCTGGTTCAGGATTTAGCTTCTCTTGTGGACCGAAAGTGAGAATTTGGGTTTTTGTAGAGTTCTCAGGTCATGGATGGGGACTGTACGTTGAACAGCTTCAAGGGGAGCATTTATTTACGAATCCACCCCCACAGTATGCGCTTGAGTTTACATGTTCGTGTGGATAATTTTGTAAATGTAACGTTTTCAGTTTGAATGGATACTATTTTTTTGGTAATTAAGTTTAGTGAAAAGTGAAATTATAATCTTATATTTAAAACGTTGTGATTACATGCAAAATTAAACAAATATTTTTAAAAAAATTTTATTGTATATTGATTGATTAAAAATATTTAATTTTTTAATTTGGTTCCTGATATTTTTATTAGTAAAATATTTGATTCTTAATTTTAGTATTTTTATATTTTAAAATAAGGAGAACAATATTTTCTTTAGTTTAGATTGCATTGTCCAGTCAGAGTATCAAAATTATTAAGGTATCCTTAATTAGGTTTTTTCCTTTTAATGTTTATTGTCAGAATATTTTCAAATTAATTTTTATATATTTCAAAACTAATTTTTTCTTAAGCGATTTTAAAAGTACCCACTTATATCGGTCCGATTTATTTTGAAAAGTTAATTTTTTTTAGATGCTAACCTAAGACTTGAACTTTTAATTTTACTTTCAAAACAACACTTATTTACCGTAAATTTAATTTTAGGATTTTTTTAATGAGTTAATATTTAGGGAAATTTTATTCAAAATACTGATAAATTGCCTAAACTGCATCATGCAGTTGGTACTAAAAAACATATTTTTGTTAGCTATAATAATGAGAATGCAATTTACCTGAGACTGTCCCAGACAGGGCTTAGGTTTAATTTTTTTTTTTAGATAGATTCCAATTTTATCTAATTTTAAAAATTACAAAAGTAACTAAAAAAATATAGGTGAGGATAAAAACTAGGAGAAAGGTGCAAGTTGAACTAGGACATAATAATTGTACATAACTTAATTCCAAATATGTGCGAGGCAACTCATGCAAGAAGAAAAGTGAAAAAGACCAAAGAGTCACCATCTCACCTCACCATATTCTTGGTGTTTGTGGTTTAGTGACAGGGACCTAACCTACCTGCATTATTCAAACTTTATTGCATATATCTTCTTGCTCACCCAATTAACTTGTATTTTTCTTTTTTTTTTAGATTGCACAATAAAAAATAATATTCTCTTATCATTCTTTAGTTAACCCACTTCACCTACATAAGCATACCATACAATGTAAACTTAGAATCTCTTATTATTATTGGAAGGAAATTATTACTAACTATTTTAATTATTGGCAATTAACTTATAGTTTTCATCAAAAAGTTTATATAAAAGTTTAAATCTCTAATTTGATCCATGAATTTTTGTACAGACCTCCAATTTGGTTTTGAACTAAAAAAATCCCTGATTTGATCCCTAAATTATTGTACGGACCTCTAATTTAGTCCTTAAACTATTATACGTACCCCTGATTTAGTCCCCACTATTTATCAATTTATCCTAAGTTGGTCCTTTCGTACAAAAACCAACTAACCATGTCTTGTTATTAACGTGACACGTGACCATTAAGTTACTATTTTTTGTCGTTAAGTAACAAACACATTAGCTGTTTTTTTGTAAGGAAATACCAACTTGAAGCAAATTTGTAAACAATAAGGACCAAATTGGAGGTCTGTATAATAGTTTAAGAACCAAATCAAAAATTCGTACAATAATTCAGGGATCAAATTGAGGGTTTAACCTATATAAAACTAAAGAAGTTAAAAACTTGTAATTGTGGTTTTACACTTCTGCCTCCACTGCTATTATTACTTGCAGGTTTAAATTATAACCAGATAAATGGCGAGGCTTCCTCTAAAGCCACCAAGACCCATGGTGGTTCACCTCAAAACACCTAATTTGCATGACACCAGTGCGCTGTCTCTTCCCACAAATGCAACTGAGATAAACATAAACAACCAGCAATCCCCATGTATCTAGTCAATTTCACCATTACTTTAATGTAAACAAATATACATGGTTAATGTGTCCAGCACTCCTATATATCTTATCCAAAGTGAATTTCACAAAGACTTTAGTACAAAACTGTAACTCAACTAACTGCAACTTTAATGCTCAAAGGTTGAACTGCCTCATGTTCTTAGCATTTTTAGGTAGCATGTCGCTATGCTGTCTATATTCTTGCTCTTCATATGAATTTGCCCTGTAAGTAGAGCTTGCTTCCTCATTCTCAGAAGAACCAGGTCTTTCAGTGAGAAACTGTTCCCAAAATACATCATTCACCCTAACTGGAGGAGCTGCTTGCTCTTGATTCTTATTTGGGACTTCTTTCAAGGAAGATAATGGTTTTTCCACATCACCCATGTTCCTGTCATTCTGAAATGCTCCAGCATCAGATTCTTTGGTCCTAGAGAGAGACATGGTCTCTGGGGATAATTCAATATTTTGATTTGGTAGGGACATCCTAGTTGAAGGAGGGCTTATGTTGATTTGCAAAGGAGAGGATGCCAGACTTAGATTTAGTTGGCATGAAATATGACCATCAACTTCATCCTTGGAAGCCAATCTCTGTTGGGAGGAATGTGCTCTCGGGCTTCCATTCACTGCTTCTTTTTGTTGGAGAGATGAACATGTTTTGAATGCAAACGGAGTTCCAGTGTCTAAGACCTCTACTGTCTCAGATGGAAACAAAAAACCTGTTCTTGTTGGTGCATTCTTTGGATCTCCTTCAGATGTTATCCTATGTGGGCTCATTCCATCTTCATTGGAACTCTGTGCACTCTGTGAAACCAAGTTGATATCTGAAACAGTTGGAGACAATTCTAGTCTTAACTTGTTTGAGAAATCTTTGCGGAAGACATTTCCAAACTCAGCTCTAGAACTAGTATTGTTGTCTAAAAGGCTACTTTCTGCAGATGGCTTTGAGCTATGAATTTGAGGCAATCGTCTTTTCTTATTGTATGCTGAGATATCCATAGTTTCAATTTTGCAAGCAAGATTCTCAAGGAGAATAGGGTTTTGAACAGCCTTTTCTATGAACTTCAACAAACCATCTTGCCTATGCTCCATACCATCAATTCGCTGAGTCAGGTCATCCAACAGAATCTTTGCAGTAGATCGCTGCTCTCTGAACCTGATAACATTAGCCTCAAGTGTAGCTTTATCACGCAAAAGCTTCTCCATTTCTTCTTCAAAAGCTGCTCTCTCTGGATCAACTAAAGATCCCTGAGGGTGACTGTGGCTGTGAATTGGTTTTCTCCTATGTATATTCTTAAGCAGATGCTTTTGATCTTTCACAAAGTCTTCGTTGGCAAATTCCCACCTCTCAGGATCAATCTTCCGAAACCCCTGTCACCATAATTTAACAAAAATTCAGCAACTGGATTACAGAATACCCCTAGTCATGAATGACACAGATAATTCATTGTTATGGACTTCTAATAAAAGTTTTGACAGATAAGAGCTGAGTTTCACAACCAGGATTCTAACAGTAGTTTGAATAATAAACTTTAACAAAATAAGTGGCTACTCAAAGTTAAAGCTTTCAAATTTACACATTATAATGCAGTTTGGGGCCAAGTCAAAGACATAATAATATATGAACACCTCATTTTTATACACTTCCAGCTCCCTTCAATCATTAATCATTAATCATTAATCATCTATACCACACTTTTGAAATCAGCATGTGGTAGTGGAAGCCATATCCAATAGGCTATAACACAACTTTTTTTCTTGATAGATATACCATCAGAAAAGTGAATGTCAAGACGTCTTGATTTTTAGGATTCTCATATATTATTGTGAGGTCATTCGACAGCAAACTATGGTTTATATATCCAGAAAAGATTGGAAATTTGATTTGGGATTTCCGAAGAAACACTTTATCATGCTTGACCAAATTGGAGTCTTATTATGAATTATTACAAAATATTGCTAGAAAGGATGAAGATTGAAGAACTTAGAACCAACTTTCCAAAGGAAGAGTAAAGCTTCTGCCGAGACAGAAGACGGTTTCATCTTACATGTTTTCAAAACCTAAAAATCAACTTAATTCACAAAGGATTCACTAAAACTTGCAGTTGAAAGAAAGAAATTCCTCTAATTACCGAAGAACCAAACAGGAAATTCCAAATTGAAAACCGTAAAGAAACAAAATCAGACGAGACTCACATAGGTGTTAAGCTGCCTTATAAAGCTGGAGAAATTGTTGTGCTTGAAATAGGTAGGAAGCAGGACGCGTGCGAATTCCGGTTGATTCCAGACGACAAAGCTTCTCTCGCCGGAGCTCCACGACACGATTTCGTCCGTCGACGAGTCGTCCACCATGTCGTACGTCTTCAGAAGGAAAGGCGCAGGACCTCCGCCACCGCCGCCTCCGTTTGGCTCCATTTTTCCCCCTTATTTTCTTGACCTCTGTCTGTCTATTGCTCTGTAAATTCGCCGATCGAAGGGATCGATTAGGAGCCTACTGGGGTAATTGCGTGTTGCGGTCGAAAATTAAAACGACATTTTTACCGTACGGCAGCACCACATCAAGCCGCAATATATGACCATTTCTTTTAAGAGAAACCCCTAATTTCCACTACAAAACAATAATTATTATTGATGGAGGGAGGACCACTTTATATTCGGGCTCTCCCTCGTTAGTACTTGTTGGATTGTACATTATTTTTTTAAAAAAAAGTTTTTTACTTAATAATAGTTTTAATTTAATATTTGTATTTTAAAATAAAATTTAGATATTAATTATTTAAATAA